TGCAAAAAATACTCTCTAACCTTTTTTTTCTCAGACAAGCATAATAAAAACTTTTTGAAGTTTGAAATATTCTGAGACAAACGTTTTTAGGAGTTTCCAAAAGTTCCGCAACTTACCGACGTTTTTTTTTCAGAATATTCAAATAAAAATTCGTTAAAATTACGAAAACAAGCTTTCCGTTCGTGACTCAAAGTAAACGTTGTCATGCGCCTTTAAAGCTACAGTAATCGTTCAATTTCCTTTTCAGTGATTTCATAGCAATTTTTTTGGAATTTTCGCTCTTTTTTTGGCCTATTTAAGACCGTTTTTTCACAAAATTTTTTTTAAAGTAAGTTTTTTTTTCTAATTCTGTCTGTTCATCCCCATTTCCAGATGTCCGCACCCCTTCACAATGATGTCGCCCGCTTCAATCGTCATAATCCATTCATTAATCCCATAATTATTACACCTTCCCATAGAAATTTCTATTTTTGTCTAAAAAACAATAATAATTTGTAGTTCCTCATCTTCCGCTTTTTTCGTCATCGTTCGTTCTGCTTTCCAAAATATGTCAGAAAATCCCTAAAAAGCGGAAATTTCAGTGTGTATGATGACGCAAATCCCTTTCGAAGCGTTCTAAAATAAAAGAGGATAATTTTGAATTTCGTCAAAAAATAATATCTTTTTTTGTAGGGCTGTTTGAAATCTGAAAAGTGCAAAAATGACCAATTTTTCAGATTTTTTCATTACAATTTTTAGGTATAGTTGATTTTTTCTTTTGAGATTAAATTGGGGGAAAGAAGAGGAAAAGGGATAAAAATGAAGAGTTCGGGGGTAGAATCACTAGAAAAAGATTTCAAAAAGAGAGAAAAATAAATTCTGAGAGGAGGCCAGGAGCAAGAACTTGAGAGCAGAGGAGGGAAACAAAGGTAAGAGAATATGAAAAAATCAATAAAATATACAAAAGGGAAGCCAAAAAGAGCGGTATTTATATTAGCAAAAAAAATAACAGAAAAAGAGTAGAAGGCACAACAAAAAATGGGTAGAAAAACAGGTTTTTAGACGTTGAAACTCTTGAGTCCCGGTGTTGCAGAGTAGTTGATAAGGGAACTTTGGCCACATGAGAAGGTGCGCTCACGGAATCCTGGAAATTCGAGATTTTAGGGAAATTCAAAGATTCTCAGTATTTTAACCTAATATTTTCTTCGTCTGTGACTTTCGAAAAATTAAAAAAGTTCGAAAAATCGTTTAAAATAGCAAAATATCGTCATGTATTCCAGGAAACTTCTAGAAGGTTCTCGAAAATTCCCAAAAAAAAGCTAACTTTTTAAAGCCCAATTCTCTTGATTTTTCGAACATTTTCGTTAATGAAAATAGCAAAAACTTGGACAAAAAGCTATGAAAATCGAGAGCAAACTAGGCTAAAAATGATAGTTTTCGAAAAATCTAGAAACTTTGAAGGCGCATGGAATTTAAAGGCACAAAACGACGATGCGCCTTTAAATAGATTATCGACTACTAAGAACTCTAGAACTTTCTGTTTTGGCGGGAATTCAAAAATATTTCGAGAACTTTCTAGAAGTTTCCAGGAGTGAACGACTTTTCAAAAATCCCTAATTTTCTGCTAAAATCCAACCCTTACCTCCTGAACTCAACACGACATCCTCCTCATCCAGAAAATCTAGACCTTCTGAACTTGATGTCGCCTCGGTCATCTTATCCGACTTATCACCACCAGCCGTATTCCAGCACAACGCTTTGGTCAAAGTGGTCATATCCTCAGCAAGTGGCGAGAACTTTCGCATTAATGGAGTGATGAATTGACTGCTTCTGGAAAATTTTGAATTGATTACTGTCGATTTTCAAAGTAGCGAAGTATCGTATTCGCTCTAAAACTTTGAGCTCAATTATCTCGGATCCTTCAAAAGATACCGAAAATCTGTCAACCGATAAAATGTTCATCATATTATCACCAATATTTTATCAGTTGACAAAATTTTGATATCTTTTATAGGAACCAAAATGATTGAGCTCAATAGGGTGGGCTTCTATCAGAGCTATTTTTGCCTTAAAGTAGACTATTTTTACTCTAAAAAGAGCTATTTTTGCTCTAAAAAGCGTCTTTTTGCTTGATATTCAGCAAATGCAGTAATCAAAAAGTATCAAAACTCACACTTTCAAATGGAACCCATCAAACGGAAACATGTCTTCGAATGGTCGCTGGACGTCTTCAATCGGAATCACGTGGTTACAGTACACCAATTGCAGCGATCTGGAACTTTTTCGGTTGTAGTCATGGGGATTTTTGGGACGTTAAAAGTGCACATGATTTGTAAAATTGGGGATTTTTCGAGCTCACAAAAATAGGGTTTTCGGTATTTCAGCTAGCCTTCAAGGCTCTGAAATCAATGATAGGTCTTTCAATTTAGGATACCGTAAAACCTCTAATAGAACGACACCCGGAACGTCCACTTTGAGCCTATATATCTCACTTCCTTTGAAACGTATCAAAAAGTGGTTAACTAGTAAAATGTTTATCAGGATATCAGCAACATTTTACTAGTTAGCCACTTTTTGATATCTTTTGCAGAAAATGAGATATATAGGTTCAAAGTGGACGATCCGGGTGTCGTTCTATTAGAGGTTTTACGGTAGCAAGTTCAAAAAAAGTTTAAAATTTCAACAAACCTTGTAATAGCCGAGAAGCATCTGGCCACCGGCTTCGACACGTATCTCAATGGCTCTAGTGGCGAATGAACGATACGGCCGACTCCCCAACGACGCATTGCTTCCAGAATTTCTGAAAATTCAAAATTTTGGTTTCAGATATTATACTGGCCGGTGGCCGTGCCCGGAGGCCTCACAACGACAAACACCGTAACCAAAAGATGTTTTTTTTTCAAGTTACGGTAGTTTCCGTCGTGAGACCTTCGGCCATGGCTTCGCCGGTTTTTCAATTTGCTCAAAAAACTAACCCTGATTCTTGGCAAACTCTTTGTATCGGAACGAGAAGACCAAGAAGAACGCCTGCGAGATAGCGTAGAAGGTTCCGTGTCGATGGAGGCCTGGAAGGATCTGTGAGCTTCCGGAGCCGAATTGAACAACGTAGCGCTTGAGCCACGTGTAGATTTCCTCGAGCCAGGTGAAGGCGACACTGGAAAATGAGTATTGTTCGATTTCCAGGTAAACATGGCCTAACTTTTTCAAAATGAATTTATTAGGCTAACTTGTTTGGCCCCGAAATAACGTTATACTTATTTGGTGTCATTTACAGTTCATTTTAACATGGTGGCCTAACATTTGAGTTTTCTAGGCCACCAACTTTTTTGGCTTAGGAATGACATTTTGGTGATTCCTAGCCTAGAAGAAAGAAATTCTAGCCCATTTTAACATGGTGGCCTAACTTTGGTAAATTAAGTTTTCTAGACCACCGAATTTTTTTTAGAAACGATCTTTTGATGATTTCCAGGCGATTTCGACATCGTGGTCAAGTGTTTGCAATATGAGTTTTCTAGGCCACCAACTTTTTTGGCTTGAAAATGGCGTTTTTGGTGATTTCTAGGCCATTTTAACATGGTGGCCTAACTTTGGAGTTGTCTAGGCCACCTTATTTTTCGGTCTAGAAATGGCGTTTTGGTGATTTCTAGATCATTTTAACATGATGGCCTAACTTTTGAGTTTTCTATACCACCATTTTTCTTGCTGCAAAAGTAAAAAACTCACTCCTTTTTCACATATTTGGCTCTAGCCAAAAACGCTGCCAAATACGCCGCGGCTCCTTGACTTTTCTTCGAATCCGCCGGTGCTCTCGGCATTCTTATGGTCACTTGCCAGAGATGTTCGAGAACTTTCTGCTCGTATTCTTCTTTCAACGATCCGAAATATAACCAGATGAAGGACACATATTGAACATGAGTAGCATTGAGCATCGTGGACTCCAAAACCTCCAAAAATGTGTCGAACAAATTCTCGGGGGCCAGCACTTTGTCTCCTTTGATTTTGAACGTTCTCAACCATTTCTCCTCGATTTTCTGGCCTTTTTCCTCGTTTTCCTGAGCATCAACGCCTTCTGAATGCCTGATGAATGCGATGACGTCGGTGCAGACGGCGTCCAGGTACTGCATCGTCTGCTCTCCTTTACGTTGCTCCAGAAGTTTCGGCGTGACGTCTTCAGAATCGTTGGTGGTTTCGATGACGTCTTCAATCAGAATATCGTCGTTGAGCGCGAACAAACGGGGGCTCTTGCTTTCTTCTTCGTTCTGCTCGCATCGCCAGTTGTGCGCCTGGAAAATTTGTATGAAAACTGAGCTACAGTAATCTAAAGGTGCATTTTGTAAAGGTCCCGGAACTACAGTAATCCGAAAAGATTTTCAATTTTCCTGAATTTTTGCCGCCTTTTCTGAAAATCTTCTCGAAAAGGTAGGAAATTGTTGAGGGGAAATTACTGAAAAATTGAGAAAAAAGCTATATTTCTAGGTTACGGTAGTTGTCGTTGTGGGATTTTTTATTCGATTTTTGACAAATTTTTGTTCCAGAATAATATATAAAAGAGTCTAAAACTGGCCAAGCTAGTGGCTCAGCTTCTTCGCCACGTGGCATTTCCCTCTCTGTCTGCGTCTCTCAAACTCACATCATCCTTAGCCAACCTCTCGAAAATCGTCTCCCAGACATCCTTTGTGATACTTAATGGCACATATTTCTGCATCAACATCAAATTTCTCATGTATCCCGAAACGGCGACAGGCGGTTGAGTGAAGTGTGGCATCGCCTTGCGGAGGCATTTTAAGAGCGATTTGGCGGATCTGAAAATGTTAAAATTGAGGAAATTCGGTGAAAAATCGCCTAAAGTGGTGAAATTGTTGCTTTTCAGGGCTGTTTTCAGGTTGTTTAATGTCATTAATACGCAGTTTTAGGCCCGGTCTATGATAATTTGAGTTGTTTTCAGGGCATTTAGGCCGATTCCGTGGCGTTTATAAGGATTTTTAGGTCCTTATGGTTGATTTTATGGTTGATTTAGGTCGTTTCTATAGTAGCTTATGGTCAATTTAGTTCATTTCAGGTATATTTTAGACTAATTTCAGGTCATTTTAACGGGCCTGTTTTAAGGCTGTTTCAAAGAAGTTCAAGGCGATATTAAGGCATTTTAGGCTCTTTTTAGGTTCAGTTCAGGTCATTTTGGGCAATTGCGCTTCATTTTCTGCAGAGAGTCATATAGAGTCGACCACGGGGACTAGAAAACTTAAGCTAGTAATCGTTTTTTGACGCGTCATTGGAATTTTTCTCGATTTTTATGTGAAACTATATGATTTTCTGTACAGACAAGAGCAATAAAGAATTTCACAACCATTCATTTAGTGACATTTCCAGGGAATTTGAATATGGTAGCCTAACTTTTTCAATTTGAGTTTTCTAGGCCACCCACTTTTTTTCGCCTAAAAATGACCATGATAAGCAAAAAACTCACAATGGGAAGCAGCGAATAACACTGGAAAGAATAATATGAGCCATTTCAAAGTGCTCATTTTGCTTCTCCTCCGTCAACACAAAGCTCACAATTCCCGTCGATTCGTCAGATGAAACCTGTGGAACTAAACGTTGCACCACCGCCGTATAAACATGCTCCGTAAAACAAAGGTGTCGAATCGCCAACTCGCAAAGAAAAGTGCGGAATCTCTCGATAGCCGATTGTGGAATTTTATCCCAGCGAAGTGCCAAAAGTCGTTTGACCAAATCGTCGGTTCTAGCTTCCATAACATCGGCACATCCTAAAAATTGCTCTAGAATTTGTAGTTTTGGGGCTTCCAGCTCCCATTGCTCGAAAGTTTCCAACGCATTGCAGATTTTTCTGTAGAGGACCGCAGCGGTGACATCGCCATTCAGATAATTGCTTATGATTTCTCTGCCGGTTGGGGCTGCAGATGCTGGCTTGTCCTCTTCTTTTTCGATTTTTGGCTTTTTCACATCATCATCTGTAATTTTTTTTTAGAAAATTGAGAAAGTTCTAGAAAGATCCATTACCACGCCTCGGCGACAAATGCGGAGCACTAGCAGTATTTCTCTTCATATTGCTTCTTTATAATTAAAAAGTCGATATTAAACAAGCTTCAACAACAACAAATCTGAAAAAGAAAACCGGATTTTTGGTTTAAAAAATTAATGTTTAAAACTAACAACAACAAGACCTGTACACAACAAAATAACGCCTTCAATCGAGAGTTTCCAAAGAAAGCGCGGTTCCTTAATCGCTTATGCGGTCATTGTCAGTGTCCCAAGTTGCTGAAAATTGCGAAATTTTAGATAATATTTTTATGGATCGAAGCACAAAAAATGTTTTCGAAATTGAAAAATTGAAGATCTACAGGGAAAAATATCGAAAAACCAAAAAGTTTTATATATCAAAATGTTCCTTATTTTCTTTTCTACTTGAATTTCACAAATTCTAGCTAAATCCGACAAAAATTACGTCTGAAAATTGCGAAAAACCGGAAATAGCAAAATTGGAAAACACTCGAAGTGCGCATTGCGAGCCCTTTGCGCACTACGCGTGCAGGTGTTGACACGATTCTCGATGAGTGTCCATTCGAATTATCTTTATTTGTATAGCATCGGGTGCGATCAATTCTACACTTTTTATCAGTTTTTCAAGTTCAAATAGTTTTTTGAAAAAGGTTTAATTAGAAATTAAAAGAATTGAATACCAACGGTTTTTTGGAGTTTATTTCTAGACACTTATAAAAATCATAGCGATAATTTTGAGAGTATACATAAATTAGCGGTTCTGAGCAATTGTTTCATTTAGTTTTTAATTGAATTTTTTCAGAAAAATTGCAAATTATATGTAGAAAAATGTTTCAACTAATTTTTTTAAAAAATTAGAGTTTGAATCGAAGTTATAAATTAACCGTACGATATAGCGATAGTTCCAATGCACAATTTTATCGATTTTTGCTCATTTTTAGCTGTTTTGATTCCGTAAACTAGATAATTAGTCTTTGACATTCTGGCAAATTTTTCAAACCGTTCAAAAACATTTTAAGTCGTCGTTTTCTGAAAAATGACCTTTCATCTAGAAAATTACTAAAAAAACAAGGAATTCAGAAAACAAAATCGTAGGGAGACCAAAAATTGTGTGTTTCTGACAAAAAAAGAGTGTGACGAGAAACGAAAAAAGTTTTCTTCACTCTTCTCCAACCTTCTGACCGGTCAGCAGATCGACTATAAGTACAAATTTTTGGTTAGATTTTCAAAAGTTCTGATCTTTTTAGATTTTTTGAACATTCTGAAACTTAAAAAAAATTTTTAAAGTTTGCATAGTTTTCTGGAAATTTGAGATTTTCGAAAAGTCCCAAAAATTGAAAATTTCTGTAAATTAGCGCTTTCTGAAACCTGAATTATCTTGAATTTTGTGGTTTTTAACAATTTCAGAATTAGAATTTTTAAATTTTTGTGTTTTTTTGAACTATTTCAAATTCCCAAAAAATTGCAAAAGGAGTTGTGGAGAAAGAAGTGGAGTTTTCTGGAATTTGTTTTTTTTTTCTTAGAATCTCAGCACTTTTTGAATTTTCCCAATTTTTTCAAATTGGCGATTTTTCAATCTTTTGGGATTTCAAATTTCTAGGCTGCATTCAAAAATCCTAATGTTATCAAATTCTAAAAATTGTCTAGCTCCAAATGTTCCGAATATACCGTAAGACCTGTAAAGAGTCCCCCTCTCTAATTTATAACAACGAGCCATTGTTTTTCGGTTCCTGTGAAAGATATTAAAAAATGTTTATCATAATATGCCAAACATTTTATCAATTGGCACATCTTTCTTATCTCTCACAGGAACCGAGATAAATTAGCTAAAAGTCAAAAGTTAGGGGGGCACATCTATTACAGGTTTTACAGTGTAAAATCTAAAAACATAATTCTGAAAGTCGTGTGGTTCCAAATTTTCTAAAAATATACACAACTGTTCTCTCAATTCACCGGCACCTTGCCCAACCAATAAATCACCCATGAGCAGCGGCTGGCCAGCAGGAGAGAAACATGAACCCATTCATCTCTTGTCCCTCTGTTTCTTTCCAATTTCTTCTTCTTCTGTTGCCCCATCCTCCTTCTTCTTCTTCTCTGTTGTGTCAAGCCAATTACCCTCGCTACGCCCGTCCCTTTTCCTCCGTCATGTTCTTCTTCTTCCATCCGCCCCTTCCCCCCACTTTATATCCTTTCTTGAGCTCTCCTGCATGCCTTTTTGGAGGGCATCAAAAAGAGAAGAGCACTTTTCGATTTTTTTTGACTCCCTCCCCCTTTTTGATTGCTCAGTTTTCTTCCTTTCTTTTGGAATGCCTTCAACTTCCTCATTTTGAAGAAAAAAATCTTAGTTTCCCTCTCTTTTCTTTATTTCAAGACTTGGTTCTTTGAAATCAATTATTCATAGCTTTGTTCCTAGTAGTAGTAGGAGTAGGATTTCCACTTTTTTGACATTTTTTCTGTCTCCAGTAATCCCAAATCCCAGTAGACTATATAATTTTCTGGATGAGCAAATCTTGAAGACAAAGGATTAAGTCTCAATGTTCCTTTGTAATTTTAGAACTTTTCTGAACAATTTCTATTTCAGTTTAATTGAGAAAGTACAAAGTTTGTTCCTTCGATTTTTAGAACTTTCCCGTTTTTGACACTTCCAGCTGGCACCGAAAGTCTCCAAAATTTGATCTGAAACACTCATTCGAAAATTTCCCATTTTCTACTTTTAGATTCAAAAATTCCTATTTATTTTGAAAATTTCGGTTCTCAACTGAAACTAGAAAAATTCAATTTCTTCAAAAACCGGCATTAGAAAAGCACCTAACCGAACTTGGTCCTGATTGATCTCGATTACTGTAAAAGATATCGAAATTTTGTCAACTGATAAAATGTTGGTGATAATATAATGAACAATTTATCAGGTGACAACTTTTTGATATCTTTCACAGCAATTAAGATATCTGAGCTCAAAGTGCAATTGACGGACAAATATCTTATTTTGACTTTCTCAAATGCAATCGTCAAGTTTGGAGCCCAAAAGAATTGAACTCAAAGTTTTCTGATTTTTCTGAAAATTTCAAATTATAGTTAACAAAATTAGAGCTTCCGTTTTGTAATGAACAGCTTTCTTTCAAAAACTCAATTCTGATGAGATATGCCGTTTGTAACCAAAAAAGTTCTGAAAATGCAAAAATGAGAGTTGTGTCCCTTGAAAACCGTTTATCTCACTTGGCTGGATTGGCACAAAAAAGTTGGCAACTACAAACATGAAGCCATATTTTTGTTTAGTATATTCTGGAATTTTCAGACAAATTGAAATATTCTGAGCTACTTTTCCACTAAAAAATCAAAATTATGGTTTTTTTCCAAAATTTCAAAATCTGACTTTCTAAAATTTTCATCTTTAAAATTCGAAGAATGCTATTTCTGACATGTCACATCAAAGAAGGACTAGATAGGAGAAAGGAGATAAAACGTTCAAACGACTTTCAAAAATGTCTTTCTCTGAATATCAAAATTTCAGATCTTCCACTTTTTTATGTTCCAGGACCAGAGGGATTGCAAAACTTTTTTGCAATTTTCCGCATTTTTTCATAGATTAATCTACAGTAGTCCAGTTTTTTAAAAGGCGGGATTTCACAATTTCTCGAGATATACCAGAATTTTAAGGTCCAAAGTTATTCAATTTGTTTTCAATTTTTGAACTACAGTAGTCCAATTTCTAACTACAGTAGTCAACTTTTTTTAAAAGAAATCTCTGCAAAATGCTTTGCAGTTTTTTTAAACCCAACTTTTTCCGTTTCTCGAACTTTACACTTTTGAACCGAAACCCTAAATTTTCTTGACGAGACTGAGATAAAAAAGACAAATCAATCAATCAAATCAAGTGCCTAAATATTTTGTAAAGTGATCGAAAAAAATAGACTTCTTGTGTTTGCTGAACCTCTTATTAACTTTCCTTTCTTTCAATTTCTTTTCACTTACCTATTTTTCGATTTATTTTGATTTATTTGACGTTTCGAGCTTTTTGAGAGTTTTCTAGACCAATAATTCAATTTTCTAGAAATTTAAAAATTCAAAAATACAGAAATTCAAATATCAAAATTTCGGAAGTTCTGAAAATCTGAAATTTGGAATAAAATTTTGGAAATGTTTTTTCCCAAAATAGAGATTCTAAAAGTTCTCCAATTTTTCCGCCTATCTGTCTCCTGCTCATTGAGCAAATTTATTTATACAGGAGCTAGATAAAATAAAGCTTTCTTTTTTTTTATTTCCGGTTTTTGTGCCTCTATAATTATTTTGTTAATTAGTATACTCAGGAAATTGAGAAAATCGTTAGATTTTTGTTGTTTTGTTGTGTAATCTGAAAAGTACCACCCATTTTTCGACTTCATTCGGCAAAAAACGGACCTTTTTTTTCAAAAAAACTTCGCTGAAAAATTTTGGGCTGTTTTCTAGTTTAGAGGTCCCAAAAAATTTAGAGATCCGAAAAAAATTAGAGGTCCGAAAAAAGTTTAGAGGTCCCAAGAAAAAATTGAGGTCCAAAACTTAAAATCGCACAGATGCTGGAATAATGTACTAGGTTTTGAATTGTATAGGAAGTTTAAGTTTTGGGATCTTTTAGAAAAATAATTGTTGATGATATATTTTACACTTCTAATAGGCTTAAGGATGCATACTTTCTGAAAATTATCTAAGCCTGAGAGATAGCATAATCACGGAGGCATTACTGCATTGCCGAAATTTTCCTCATACGCAAATTTGGGTTCATCAGCAAGATGCAAGAGAATTGGAGCTAAAACTGTCAGGAGTAGTCATATCATCCTATAAGACCCCGAAACTCAAACTACTCACATAGTTCGAATTCTAGTACATTATTCCAACATCTGGGAGATTTTCGAATTTCGGACCTCTATTATTGCTTGGGACCTCTAAACTTTTTTGGGGCCTCTAAACTAGAAAAGAGCCTAATTTTGGCTTATTATTTTGTATGGCTTATGTTGGCTTATTATTTTGGCTGAAAATCTAGTTGTTTTGGTGGCTGTGTTAGCAAAAAAACTACAAAAATTTCAAATTGGCTCCCTAAAAATAATAATATCATGTGCCAAAAACACATGACATTTTATTTTCTCACATAAGGAAATGCGAGAATTTCCAGAGTTTTCCTCTAAATTTCCCATAAATCTACCAGATATTATTTTTGTTATTGATTTTAGATTTTGTTTTCAGATTCCTTATTATCGATTTTTTGTTACTTTGAGCTTGAAACCTATCACATGATTTATTTTTCGTAATCAGTTTAAAACTTCTGATCTTCATCTTTTTTGCCTAATCCGATTTTGCTAATTCGAAAACCTTCATGTTTTTTTCAGAACCAAAAATATCATAAAATGAGGAGTACGGCAATACTATTGCTGACGATTCTGCTTGTGTTGAGGATATGTGATTGTGAGTTGGGCTAATCAAATAGTAGGGGTTACTGTAGAATGGGAGGGCTACTGTAGAATAGACTGGTTATTGTATAATGTAAGAGTTACTGTAGAAAGAAAGGATTACTGTAGAACGGAAGACTACTATTTGCCACAGTGGCCTAGAAATTTCCAAAATTTTCCTCGGCCTCGAATGTTTGAAACTATCATTTATGACATCGGTCAGCGGTCACCGTAACTCAGCTGGTACCTGCAAAGGTGGGCCCACAAGTACATCTCCTCTAGGGGTTTACATGAAAGAAATTACGAAAAATAAATAAACAATGTTTCATGTTCCTCCACTCTTAATAACCCCTGAAAATTCAGCCCAAAACATCGAAGTCTCCCGAGAACGCGTTCCAGAAGCAATCCGCTACGCTGAACCATCCACAGCTGGACCAAACGTCGAGCAACACGAATTCGTTCCATTATCTCCAGTAAAAAGACGGGCGGCTCGAGCAGCTCCGATTCCAAAGAAACGAGATGCAATTGTAAAAGAGGTGGAAGAAGAGGAGGACATTGATCCAGCCACTGCCACGATTCCAAGCGACGTCGAGGTTCAGAAAGATACGGTAAGGATGAGGAATATGAAGATGTTTGCATGGAAGCTTCTCTAATTCTTTTTTCTTTTGTTTTAATTTTTTGAAATGTACTATAATTTGCATGATCTGTATGTCATAATAACGAATGAATAATGAATGAATTGCTTGTTGCATGCTGTTTTTTAAACCTTCAACTTTGAGCTCAATTATCTCGGCCCGTGTAAAAGGTATCAAACAGCTGTCAATTGATAAAATTTTACTCATGTTATGATAAACATTTTATCAGTTGAACAATTTTTCATACTACTTGTAAGAATCGTGATAATTTAGATGTTTCGCATGATTGTTTTTTTTGCATGAAGTTTTTGAAAGTTTTCTTCAATTTTTCGAGCTTTTTCTAGGTGGACCATCAATATTATGAAGCAGAAACCCATATTGGAAATGAGGAAATGGTCAATAAGTACTGGGTGAATGTGGAGCAGCTTATGAAGAAACCAGGAACTATCGGAAATATGAGTCATCCGTTGCTGAGTCAGAGCTACAGAAGAGCAGTGGTTCGTACTTTTCAAAATTGGATTATAGAAAAAATAGGTTTAGAACTAGTTTAGGGAACTTCTAAACCTTTTCAGATTTTTTTTTCTAAATTTCCGAATTCCTGAATTTCTGAATCCCTGAATTTCTGGATTCCTGAATTTCTGAATTTCTGAATTTCTGAATTTCTGAATTCCTGAATTTCCGAATTTCTGAACTTCTCAATTTCTGATATTTTCTGGGTTTTCTAAATTTTTGAAATTTGTCGAATTTTCAGTATCTCCGAAACTGAAAATTCTGAAAATTTTGTGTGTAGTTTGGTTTTTTTGAAACATGACTACAAAATAACAACAAATCTAAAAAATCAGGAGACTCAAAATTCTCTCACGCCTCGACAAACTTGTAATATTAGGAAAATTCTAGGTTTTCGAAAATATTAGATTCATGGGAAAACAAAAATTCCAATTTTCCAAAAGTGCTATTTTTTTTCATATAGATGAGGGACCAATTGAAAACCAGAAATAAAATTTAGAGCAAAAAATTACAATTCTAATGAGCTACAGTGAGAGTCGAAGAGAAAAATTACTGAATTGATCTACACTTTGAGTTTAATTATCTCGGTTCCTATAAAAGATATCAAAAATGTGTCAACTGATAAAATGTTGGTGATATCATAATAAATAATTTTTAAGTTAAAAATGTTTTGATATCTCTTATAGGAACCGAGATAATTTAGCTCAAAGTGCACTTTCTCATCCGCATACAAATCATTTCCAGGGCGCCCGTCTCCAATTCAAATTCCCATTCTACGGACACAAAATGGCGAATCTCACAATTGCCACAGGCGGATTCATCTACATTGGAGACCATACTCATAACTGGTTGGCAGCTACACAATACATTGCTCCACTGATGGCAAACTTTCATACCTATTTGAATGTAAGTGTTAATTACAGTTCAATTATCTCAATTTCTGAAAAAGATATCTAAAATTTGTCAACTGATAAAATGCTGCTGATAATATAATAAATATTTTATCAGTTGACAACTATTTGATATCTTTTGAAGGAACCGAGATAATTGGGCTCAAAGTGTATAGCTTCCATTATTTTAACTTTTTGAAGACTTCAAATATTGTGTATGCTGATGACGGAGAGACATTTGTAGTCGAGTGGAGAGATGTGCAATTGAAGGAAGATAAGGATAAGAGTAAGTCTGAAATATCTTACATTCGCAACTCTGAAATTTTCTTAGATTCTGCCGCCTTCTCCTTCCAAACCATCCTGCACAAAAACGGAGACATTGTCTTCCTCTACAAGACTGTGCCCTACAACATCTCTCTCATCTCAAGTGCCAATCATCCAGTGAAGCTAGGGATCTCAGATGCTTATATGTTTAAGCATAATATGCATCAGTCAGCTACGCCAAAGAGAGTCATCTATGAATATCATAGAATCGAGCTGGACGCTAGCAAAATTGTGTCAAATACAGTGGTTATATTAAAGGCACAACCAAGTAAGTCTATTTGGTTTTGCGGGTCCAGTATTTATCAGCTACAGTAATCATTTAGCTGGCAAAAAATGATAACTATTTTATCAGTTGATTACTCCTTCATATCTTTTTCAGGAGCCGTGATAAACGGACTCAAAGTTAGGGTTCCACCCGTAAATGCTTACCCTCGCACATTCAACTTTGACCTCTTTCATCTTACCCATAAAAAATAAGAAAAAGTAGTCAACTACAAAAATGTTCATCATAATATCACAAACGTTTTATCAGTTAATCACTTTTGATATCTTACCCAGAAATGGAGATAAATTGGGTCAAAGTTAGGGGTCCTAAAGCGCATGCTTACTCTCGCACTATCAACTTTGACGACTTTCATCTCGTTCCCTGGAAGTGATACCAAAAAGTAGCTAACTATTAAAATCCATCAGTGGAGCAATGTATTGTGTAGCTGCCAACCAGTTATGAGTATGGTCTCCAATGTAGATGAATCCGCCTGTGGCAATTGTGAGATTCGCCATTTTGTGTCCGTAGAATGGGAATTTGAATTGGAGACGGGCGCCCTGGAAATGATTTGTATGCGGATGAGAAAGTGCACTTTGAGCTAAATTATCTCGGTTCCTATAAGAGATATCAAAACATTTTTAACTTAAAAATTATTTATTATGATATCACCAACATTTTATCAGTTGGTTACTTTTTGATATCTTTAACAGGGGCCGAGATAAACTGAGTCAAAGTTAGGGTTCCACCCGTACATGCTTACCTGCGCTTCCTTAACTTTGACCACTTTTATCTCGTTACCCGTAAAGAATAAGAAAAAGTAGTCAACTACCAAAATGTTCATCATAATATCACAAACGTTTTATCAGTTAATCACCTCGGATATCTTTCTCAGGAATTGAGATAAATTGAGCCAACGTCAGTGGCGCGGCACCTCCACCTTTAAGCCTACCTCCTAAAAATAACTTTAATTTCAGCCTGCATCGGATTCGAAACCTGCGACACCTGCACCAACGCCACCCTCCCACACTTCAAATGCCTTTGGTGTCATTCCAAGAAAACCCACGGTGGCCCATTCTGCACCGATGAAGCCGGTCTCCACCGCCGCCGTCAACAGTGGTTCGAAGGAAATTGCTACAAGAGAAGCAAAGGTCTCTACTGCCAAACGGACGACGAAGATGAGATTTATGATGAGGAGGAGTATAAGAACTTGAAACCGCTGGATCCAATTGTTCGTTTTGCGTTCGAGGATCACGAAAGAGAGATGAAGCAGAGGGCCGAGGAAGAGAAGAGGAGGAAGGAAGAGAGTTTGAAAGCGGCAGTGGAGCCAGAATCTAGAGGAGGTGTTGCCACATTGACGATGATAGTATGCTTCTTGTTGGTAGTGGTTGCTTGGCTGGCATATGCCTATTATTATCCACATACGACAAGTGGACAGTTGCTAATCAAGGTGAGTATGTCAGCCTAATATGTCGTAAAACCCGTAACAAGTTAGATCCCTTTTGATCCCTTGATCCCATTTATCTTTGAACCCATTTATCTAGGTTCCTGTCAAAATTGTTTGTCATATTATCACAAACATTTTTTCAGTTAACACATTTTTGATATCTTTGACAGGAACCGAGATAATCAAGGTCAAACTTAACGATTTAAAAATTATTTTTTTTCAGTACCGCCCATCTCGCTGGTCCATTCCAAACAGTCATGTTCGCTACAGTGCGTCGGTTCACATGTAAAACATCTATCGTTTTTCCATTTTTTAACTTTTTCTTTTCTTTTTACAATAATCCTTTTCTTCTTTCTACGAATCCCTACCACGAGTTTACCATTCCCACTGGTGACTTTTCCCCCATCTGACCATCCATAGAATTCTATCTTTTTTAAATTCTGAACTTAATTTTTCATTTCTGATCTATTTGATCTGTCATTTCTAGACTTCTATTAATTTTATTGATCTCCCCCACACACACACTCAATCCAAAAAATTGTTTTAATGTTTTAGAAGAGCTTGTAACTGAATTTTTCGTCCTATAAGGGTTGTAAAGTTTTGATGATTTTAATACATTTTTATTTTTTGGCATATTAAAAAGATAACTGAAAATCTGGAAATTCGAAAAATCTAATCGAGAAAATGTGGTGAATCTTTCAGGATTGCTGAAAGGAAAGATCATGAGGGAATAAACAATAAAGTAGGACAGTGAGAAAAAAGGATGGTATTTTCAGTATCATTTTTGCAACTGTTGAAGATCACGAAGGAAAAAAAACAGAGAAAAATTTCTGAAAACATTAAAAAATAAATAGAACCTATGTAAAGGATTAATCTGTGAACTCCATTTCCGAAGTCATCCCTGGATACGGACTATATTGCCATTCTAATGTTTCGTCTGAAGATGATGCAATCTCTTCTCCATAATTATCAGCCACTCCGAAGCACCATCCAGTACCGTCCGAGTCTTCAAATGGGTCGATTGATGGTGGTGACCATTCTAGAATTAGAATATTTTTTGAACTTTTTCTGCGGATTTTAAGGACTTGCAGTTTGAACTCAATTATCTCGGTTCTTAAAAGATATATTAAAAATCTGTCAACTGATAAATTGTTGCTGATATGATGTCAAAAATTTTATAAGTTAACAGATTTTTGATATCAGTTACAGAAATCGAGATAATTAGGTGAGAGTGTAAGTATTAGGAGTTAAGTTCTACAAAGAAATAATGTGACTTATTGTTGGAATTATAAAACTGCGATCTGCGTGTTTTCAGACTCAGTGTAAAACACTCTGTCTTTTGTACTGAGTCGGCATACACCGAGGTCGCAGTTTTTTGTTCCGACAATACCAGGAAGCGTGTCCAGTGAGCTTTCAATGCTCGGTGACTCGGAAGCATGGATCTCGAGAACTGGGGTCGCGCTTGTTGATTCTGAAATCTATTGATTTAGATATTCAGAGAATCTAGCAAAAAGTATCGACGAATTTACCACTAGGCTCTCTCGATTTCGGTGACTCTGACGTCTCGCACTCATCTTCATTCTTCTTCGGATTGATGATCTCCTGGCCTTCCTTCCCATTTCCCCCAACAGTAACCGCGTTGTTTTCCATTGATTGTTCAGAGCTTACATCCTGATCCGACGTCCTCTCATGATCTTGGGTGGCTTGCTCCACGATAGTTGGCTCTTGAGATGGACCCCCTAGAGCTTCTTCGTACTGACTAACAATCATTAACTTTTCCATCTGTTTCAGTGAAGGTGAAACTAACTCTGGACAGTCTAGATGCACTTCTTGATTGTTCATTGTATTGTCATAGGCTTTCTCCCGATTCTCGCCAGGAAGTGGGATGGATTCAACATTGATTGCCTCGCTATTACTAATCTGTGATACTGATGGTACCAATGGTGAAAATTGTGGATTTCCGGATTTTAAATCTTGATCCCCTGATTTTTCCTTCTCTTCGGATGCTTGCTCAGCCATAGTTGGCTCCAGAGACGGACTTCTGGATATTTCTTCGTACAGCATATTGATGATTGATACATCAATGCCTCCCTTACCGTCTCTGACCTGATCTTCTGACGGTCCCAATGGTAGAGAAGGTGAACGAATTCGAGGGTTAAAACGTGAAAGACCTCGATTAGGAGAAGTGGTCCGATGTGCATCCCATTGGAATTGATTCCTTCTTCTCCAAGAGCTGTCAAACGACGCATCTGGGGTTGGGAGTAGCGGAGGTCTCGTGAATCGCTGTTCACCATAAGGAAAGTTTGGTCCAGCTTCGATGCCTCGGAAGACTGGACCACGAAATTGAGCTTCTGGATTATTGCGATAGTCCGCAGACGGAGGTATGTAGATAGCGGAGCCCCTAACCTCTTGAGCAAAATCGGTCCAATCCCCATAGTTTAGCTGTTCTGAATACTGGTGGCTGGATTGGCCTGGCCTAGAGTTCATGCATCCATTTGGAGGCTGGTATGGCCTATAGCGGCTACCATCTTCCGGACCTCTGAAATATAGATTTGAGAAGTGGGGCAGTAAATGAGTTATCAGTGTGATGTTTACATGTTATGTTTTGCTATCACACTTTTACGAAATTGAAAGTTCAGAATAATTAGTGTCCGATAAGTAGTGTATGAATCAAAATTACGGTATTTCGGTAGAGCACGTCTGCTAGACGTCCAGCTAGGTGTTTTCTGTATAGTGCTAATATAGATACAAGTAACTCACGCATATCTTCTAGCTCCTCCTCTCCACGATGCTCCTCTCATTGATTCTATTGGTCGTGAGCCAAATCTGAAATAACTCTTGTGGAAAAGGACGAAAGAATTCTAATACCTTTTTATATACTCGAGAATTTTTTCGATGTTCCAAACTTAGAAGTTTCAAGCAGCGTCACTCTGAAAATGTTTGATATATAGGATCCTTGTAAGGGAAGATGTGGGAACGGCTGATAAGAAAAATATGAAACTCTAGATCCAGTATCCGCTTTCATGAATGACATCAATCAGCTCGCGCCGCCACAGCTCAGCAGTTAGCGGGAGTTTTGTGAATTAATTTTTTTATGTCCAGCTCTTTTAACTAATCAAACACCTCCACCAAGTACTCATCACAAGACTCATAGACCTCAAAATAGCGTAAAACGTAAATTCACGTCAGACAGCTACCCCCTAATTATGAGCAATACTAATCCTTGCGAACTTTTTCCCCACAAATCAAAATCAAAAATGGGTGAGAATGTTTTGATGAAGGAGAGTTTAGAAAGATAATTATAGGAATGTGCGCACTTCTGGGTAATAATTACGTCATCAGGCAGATGATCGGTACCGTGAGCCACTGCTATGCGTTTGTTTTCAACTCATTTATATCGGCTCTTATAAGAGATATCAAAAAGTTGTCAACTGAAAAAAGCAGATTGTCACGAACAAGTCTTCAGTTCACACAATTTTCAAGTATCCCACCAAAATTGAGATAATTAAGCTAAAAGCGCAAGTACAGCATAAGGAATTCGTTCCATTAGAGGAAGAGGAGTTTGGAGAAGAATAGCTGGTCTTTTTTAGCTGATATAGGCTGATAGCTGATAAAAGAGACAGAAAGAAAAAAGGCTGAACGATTCAAAAAAAAACAAGGAAAGAAAAGTTCTCCAAAAAAACACTAATTCTCGAGCATCCAGGAGCATCGCCTCTGAAATAAGGTAAGTCTCCAGGTAGCACCAGGCAACACAAGTGTTTTTTCTCCATTTTTCAAGTGGTCAATGACGGGATTTGAAAAAACTAACCAAAAGTTAGTGGATTCAGAGAATTGAAAAAAAGATGATTTCAATAAAGCTATGGTTCCTGGCACATTAGTCCGGTGATTAGCAAAAAGAAAATAGACCGACAAAAATCCACCTGCTCCTTTAAAATTACGGTACATTTTCAACGGATACGCTTCTACGAGGGGACGGGTCTCTACACGAAGAAATAGCAAAAAAGTCAATCCATTAGAAAAAGATTTCTAGAACATTCTCTGACAGTCTTCCATCAGTGATGATTCATCACTGTTATATGGTCCACTACTGACTGTTATGTGCTATGAGTCATTCGAAATTTTTCGAAAATCATAAATCATTGGTCTACATGAAAAACATGACAAATATATTTTGAAAAAAATCGACCGGTAAATATTCTTAAAACCTGTAATAAAAGGGAGCCTACATTGCCAAATTTGAGCTCAATTATCTCAACTCCTATAAAACTCAGGGAATTTCGGGCAATTTGCCGTGAAAGTGGGCTGCCTTGCCCCCACCGTGGGGGCAACGGCGCCCATTTGATGGGCAAAGTGCCCAAAACCTGGGCAATTTTCTCACGCCATACCGTAATCTTGCCCAAGTGTAGCCCAAAGCAAGCCCAACTCAAGCCGCAAGCTTGCCGCAAAAAAACGAGGGCACGCGCTCGTTTCGTTTTAATATTCTTTTTTCAAAACCTTGCCCAAATCTTGCCAGAGTCTCGCCCACCTAGCAATTTGCCCAAATCAGTGGGCGTGGGCGCCCAACCCTTGCCCAAAATTCCCTGAGAAGATATAAAAAAATATGTCAACTCATAAAAAATTTCTGATATTATGATAAGCAGTTTATCAGTCGACAACTTTTTTGAATCTTTAACAGGGGCCGAGAAAAATTGGCTCAAAGTTCAAAGTTAGTGGCCTTCTATTACAGGTTTTGCGGTGATTGATTTTACTCAAAAAGTCCAATTCATCTATATCAAACAATTAAAAAAATTGGACAGAAAAATGACGTATACAATCACCCAATTCTGTTTGACCCATTTTTAACAGGTGGTCTATCTATACAAAAAGCACTTTTCAAAAGTTCAAGTCTGGGCAAACACTAACACATGTCCCAAAAAAAGATTTCTAGAAACCAAAAAGAAGATAAATCTCTTCTTAAGACCTTTCAACTGCCATGAAATAAAACTGGGCGAGTGCTCTCCAATAAACGGCAGCTAATTTAAAGAGAAAGCAATTCGTTTTTTTTTGGTACTATAGTAGACAGGGGGCTCATAAAATCGGAGATTGGATTGTTGGAAACTTAAGAAAAAAGTAGATTGGGGATATTGAAAATCTGAAAAAGGAGAACCCATAGTAGAAAAAAGGGGCGGAGCTTGCTGTTTAACTTTGTGATAACATTTGATAGTGATAAATTTGTGAAACGCCAAAAAAGGAACAAAGATTGTGAAAGAAGGCATGGGAAAATGGAAATATTGTATTCAAAAAAAAAAAGGGTGAAAGGGATTTTTAGTACAATAAAAATTTGCAAAAAGGAAGACGGAATGTATATTATCAGTTGAAATTTTGGAAAAAATAAACTGTGGGAGAATCGGAAAAGAATTATGACAAAAATTTGAGGAATTGGAAAAATGGAAATTGAGGATGACAGGAAATTGAAAGTTGAGAAAAATGATGAAAACATATTGAAATCTGTCATAAGTTATGCTATCAAAAAAAAATCACATTGTTTGCATTTTGAAGTATCGATTTGCTCCACGATTATTCTGGAATAATTTAAATATTGGAAAGCCAACGAATAGTTAACTTGAATCCATTTTTACTCGGTTTCTGTAAAAGATATCAAAAAGTGATCAACTAACAAAATATTCCTCAAAATCTGAAAAACATATTATCAGTTGATTACTTTTTGGTATCTTTCACAAAAACTGAGATGAATGAACTCAAAGTTGGTTTTACGGTATCTCGATTGTTAGTAAAATACAAAAATTTCAGGGGTGCCATTTTATTGGAGTGTTTAAATAGTTGTTTTTTAAAATTTATTTCTATACTCTCAGGATATCTCACAATTTATAATTAATTTTTAATTAGATAAAATGATAAAATTAGATAAAATGATTTTAATTAGAAAAAAAGTATAGATAGATATCTATACTTTTGGATAGCTACATATACCGGAAACACTCTAATAGCACGCCACTCGGACTGTCCACGTTGAGCCTATGTATCTCACTTAATTTGAAAGATATCAAAAAGTTGTCAACTAATAAAATGTTTATCATAATATCAGCAATATTTTATCAGTTAGCAACTTTTTGATATCTTTCACAGAAAATGAGATACATGGGCTCAAAGTGCGCGGTCCGGGTGGCGTTTTATTAGAGTGTTTACGGTATTTCCCGTTAGGAGATGAAAATCATACCAAAAAATCTGTAAAAAAAGGTCCCACCCCTTTCACCAAATTTATCTCGGTTCCTGTAGGAGATATCAAAAAGTAATCAATTGATAAAATATTTTTGATAATATGAAAAATATTTTGTTAGTTGACCACTTTTTGATACGTCTCACAGGTAATGAGAAAAACTAGCTTCAAGTTAAGATTGTGGCAAACTCGGTTGTCGTCGAGTTCACAATCGTAGCTTCAAGCATTTTGATGATTCACCACCAAAATTATCTAGTTCCGTTAGATTTTCGACTTAATTATAGGACACAGGTAAAACTTCACCAAAATTTTTCATTTAGTTTCCCATACTAATTATCTGAAATTAAAAAATTGTTTGCCACCTGTAGGCATCATTCCATAGACTATAGAGAATCGTGATTAGAAATCTAGAAGTTGCTTACCATGTCTCTGTATCCATTAAGTCATAATCTGGAGAAGCAAATGTATCCCGGATAACCTGAAGTAAAATGTTTAGGTTAGTATTCAAAATCTATATACCTCAAATGCGTCTCGGCTGGGTGGATGGGAAATAATCAACAATTTCGTTGAACCTAGGATCCCCATATGTTGGCTCCTCGGCCTCATCTTGGAGGTCCATGTCCTCATAGATCGCTTGCGATTCCTCCAACTCCTCTGAAGCCCTGTGCTGATCATTGAGACTTGGATCGTGGTTTTCGGTATTGGTACCCGCCACATCCACATCGTTTGGGGATACAGGTCTTCCAAAGATTTCATATTCATCCGAATCAATATAATGGAAATTGTCAGGATTTTCAATTGGATCCTGTGGGTTCAGGCTGGAAAACGTTGGAGCTTGGTGTCCCTGAGTGTAGCTGGTCTGTGAAGCGTCTAGGATGGGGTCAAATTGATTCGAGCTATCGCCAGAGATGTGACCAGAATTCTGGTATTTTCCATCAGATGCATATTCATCTTCTCCTTCAATACTCACGGCTTCTTTCTGGTCTTCTCTCATTGTGTCTTGAATTTTAAGATCTTGGTTCTGAATACCCTTCTCTTCATTGTGAATGGGGATATCCAGGTTCTGGCCTTCCAGTTCTCCTCTTGTGAAATCTGTCTGTTGGTGTTGGTTCCGGGGGAGAACCAACCGAAATTTTAGGAGCTGGATCTTCGGTGGCACATAATTTTTAATATATTTGATCTGCTCCGATCGATGGTTTTCCTCCTGGGTTTCTGTAGTGGTCAAAGAACTACAATCAAACTGAAAATTGTTGCTTTACTTGAGTTACCATACTAGAAACTCACTATGGCGCACTGTCTTCGATGGTCACAGACAGAGACTTGCTCCGCAAACTGTTTCCCGCATTGGCACACAAAACGGAAGCACTTTCTGAAAAAAGGAAGATATGTTATCGGCCAAAAAGCTGTAAACATACGTGTGAGCTGCAAAGTGCTCATGGATAGCTACAATGTTGTTCACATGGTCACATATCCCATGCTCTTCGGGGTAGGTACAGATGAGGAGGATTCCTCCGGGTGGGTATCTGTAAATGCGGAAAGTTTGGAAAAAAAAAATTAATAACAGGATGGTTAGCGACATAGTTAATGAATAGACTGAACTGAAATTTTATTTGAAAGTTATGCGCCTTTAAACATATGCTTCTTAATATTATTCGGGATGAGGAGTATTGCCCCGTTTAAGGTACACACCTCGAACAATTAGATTTTAAATTTTGAACTTACTGAGCACCGTCCTGACTGCTGTTTCTTTGCGCGGAAGTCATGACGGTCGATTGCAACTTGCCAAACTGAAACATCATTTTTTGAATTAAGTACAAAAATGAAACAAGCCACTGTGTGAAAACTTGATCGAGTTTCAGAAGTAGTTTAATGTTAATGGTCGACTGAAATATAGAAAATAAACAGAGAAACAAAAAGAGCAGAGGAAAAAAAAGAAAAGGAAAGAATGTCATAAAATCCATAACAGTGCATTTTTCATGTTTTTTATTACGCTTTTTGTATTGTTTAGTTTCCCAAAAGAAGGTATCTATGGGTGGGAAATTGGAGAGGTCAGGAATGGTGCTTATTTGAAAAATGGGGAGAAAGGTGAGAAAGAATAAGAACCTGGCGATTCGAAAAAAGGAGACTTTGTGCAAAAAAAAAGTCAAGAAAATCAAAAAATATAATTAAGAAATATCTTCTCAAACGTTTTCCGATAATTTTAGTTTTTGCACACTTTTACAGTTCGGTTCATTTTTTAGAAACAGTTAACAAATCCTTTCCAATGCTCTAGAATTGAGACTGTTGATTTAAAAAAAAGTAGAAATCTGATTTCCAGTTCAAAAGAGTATTCGAAGCAAATAATGTTAGAATACAGTCAAATGAACTTTTCGAAAAATATGCACTACTTAAAGTGCAAAGGTAAAGTACACTCTCTGTTTCTCTAGATGTTTCTCCTCCTCTTTCTCCTACAAAGACAAATATGAGATAGCCAGGTAGTGTAATTCTTTTTTCCTGGTTAATATATGGGGAGGGGAAAGTGAAAAGATTTACAGAAAAAAATTATTCACAAAAAAGACGAACTTAATACGAACTATATAACAGGCGGCAAAACGAAAAAACCCCGATAAAATTGTAATATATTTTTTGGTTGACAGTTTTGAGACAATTACAATAATACTTCTAAACACGCATGCGAGTTTACAAAGCATTTAATTTATTTTTGCACACCTTTAGACTTTAAGATTCATTTTAAAAGGCAATTGAGGTAAATACCAGTTGGACTTCTGTGAGAAAACCGCGTTTTTAGAGAATTTCATAAAGTGCAAGGAACAGTTCAGTTCAATGTCACCTTGCTTGACTAACTATCAGACATATGCTGATTTACAAGGCTCCGCCCCCAGACAAGGCTCCGCCCCCAAGACCGCTAGTCCTAGCATGTGACCTTCCTTCTGAGATGAACCCCCAGTTTTTTTTAATTTTTTGGGACTTTTTGAAACAAATTTTGATTTTTTAAATAAAAAATGGGATTGATGGAATTGTTAGAATCTGTTTTCTACTGAAGGTCCGAACTTGATAGCAAAAAGGCTAAAAATTCTGTAATATTCCATCTTTTATGAAAAAAACCGAAATCATAATTTTTGTGTCAAAAATTCATTCAGAAAGCTTGGGAAGACTGCGAGAAGCAATTGAAATTTGCAAAAATAACAAAGCGAAGAAAATGAACACCTGGTGCCAATGTTTTGGCATACAAATGAAATGTTTTGAAAGGACAATGCATTCGAGAAAAACATAAATGTTTACAAATTAAAAAACAAAAAAAACACTGGAGGTGAACATTCAAATGAAGAGGTATCAAGAAAAGCGGTAGAAGAAAATAGTAAGATCGGGAAATCTAAAAATTGGGAAAATAATTTCTACAGAATTGATACAATTAAAAGATGAGAAATGGGTGAATAAAACTTAAGCTTATGGGGAATGGCAAGTAAAGGAATTTAGGTCACAGAGAAAATTATTGAGAAAACAGTATTACAGTATAAAGAAGTTAAGATACATGGAACTTGAGGTCAATTTTCAATAAGGTCGTTGAGCCTTAACCAATTTGACCATTCTTAGCTGCCTCTTGATCGGCTCTTCTGTAAAAAACAGCTTGAACGGCTTGCTATAACTTCACAGTTTTTTTAACTGTCTTTTTTTCCTATTTTTCGGAAATGTCTAGAACTTTCGAAGATCTTCCCGATATCTCAAAGGACCTATTTCATTGCAAGACGATTTTGTTAAAAGCCAAAGAAAATTTTTTATATGATTTTCTGATCCACTTACCTTTTCCGTGCTACTTTTTGCAAGTTGAACACAGTTTGTACTGGGGGCAAATCTCTTGGAACCCTAAAACATCATTCTAGAATTCGAAGGACAGAATTTCAAGAAACTGACCTAGTTGTCACGCCTCCTGCTCGTCCATAATCGCCATACATTGGGATTGATCTAAACTGAGATGATGTTCCAGTTGTTTCCCTCTTGGCTTCTGGAGGCTTCTGAATTGACAAATTTATGTTTTCTGGTGACTGTCGTACCCCTGAAAATATTATGTTTTTATAGCTCCAAGAATCCTGAGTCCTACTTTCTGGAGCTCTCGAAGTGATCGACGACATATTATGTTGTAAGGTGGACTGCTGATGAGCCGTTGGAACCTGTTGAGACACTGTCCTAGGAAGTGGGGGCTTGTGAAGCAATATACCACCCGATGAATTAAGTCTTTGGCCTAGATTTCTAGTACAAAGAGACTGGTGAGATGAAGACTCTTGACGAGATATATGAACCATTGGAAGCACTTAAAATCAATTTATATCTCTAGAAATTTGAAAAAAAAAACTCATGAAACTCTGGAGGCCTGAACTGCCCCTGGGCTCGTAATGAAACTCTGGAGGCCTGAACTGCCCCTGGGCTCGGTAGTGGTCCACCACCACTGGTAGTGTCTCTGATCCCTGCCGATCGGTGTCTTCCACCAGATACTGGGTATTTTTGGGTCATTGATCTTCTTCTTCCTGAAACTCCAATTTTAAACATAAGAGTATCTTCCAGAAGCTGAAAGCTTCTTCTCTGCCATCTACACTGACTAGGTTCTGGAGATGCAGATTCACGGGACAGGTGTCTTGAAGTTTCAGGAGCTGGTGATCCTTCAGATGCTTCTGCAATCCTACTTATTTCGTAATCACGTTAATGACAGAATTTACCTTCAGAGTCATTCGTGTCAGAAGACGTCAGATTGGCATCGGAAGCTTCTGTTTTTTGCCCATCCATATTCGTTTGCTCTCTATTTCTGATCATCTCATTCCGATTTAATCTCGCTTCCGTATCCGATGCCTCTTCCATATCAGATGTCTTCAGCAGCGGAGGCATCGACGACCGCGAACCTGAAACTTGGAAAACTGAAGAATCCAAAAAAAAAGACACCTACTTCCTGGAGAAAATGTTTCTGGCGACTCCAAAGGTTCTGGCTGATAGCTCAAAGGCGGTGGAACAATCCGACGGGTGTCGCCCTCGGATCTTTCCACCGCAACACAATTAGATGGGGAGTTTCCGTCGTATAAGCTTGAAAGCTCTGATTTTTTTCTTGGCTCAAGCATAGCTTGAATCGCATAGCTTTTAACGAATTCCTCATGAGTTTCCAAGTTTACAGGGAAACTGGATGGACGTTGCATTGGGCGAGGTGATTGAGCTGAACTGGAATCGTTGCCTTGAGGAGTTTCTTCTGATGGGTTCATGAGACTTGTTGGCTGAGCCCCTTGTTGGAATGGGACATCTTGAAGATTTTTTAGAGAATTGGAACCTGGACGACGTGTTTGTGGAGCGGAAGAAACACCTGATGACTTTGAACACTTTGAACATTCACAAGACTTGACTTTGGAATCCTGTGCAACGGTGGTCTTAGGCTGGTCCAGATAAGCCAAATTTGAGCTAGATGACGATTGAGGTATCTGTACTTTACAAAAACCAGATAGACGTTCCAGATTCTCTAAAGCTGGGAAGCTTCTGGAAGATTCTGATGTGCCCAGGTGACTATTGGGCATCATGGATCCAATTTCACGACCGGATGTATTCAAAAAACGAATTCTTGGAGAAAACTCCGAGTTTTTAGCTAGAAGGTTCTCCCTGGGAGTAGATGCCTTTGAAGGTCCTGCATCTGAAAAAAATCACATTTTGTTTCTCGAACCTTCTGGAGCTCACCTTTTGATCGTCTTTCCACAGTTCCAATTTCAGGAGGCAGTTGAAGAACCAGCTCTTCAGGTTCTACGGTATTTTGGAACTGAGCATCAGCTTTGGCAGGCATTTGAAGAAGCGGTGTTTGAATCTCGTTGATCTCTTTGGGAGCCATTATTCCCAAGCGTTCTGTTTGAGTAGCGGAACTCGATTTGGCTGGCTCGGCCCCTCAAAAAGTTGCATAGATCAATTCTTTGAAAATTAAGAACGTACTAAAATGCCCAACGAATATTATATCGTCATCGGAATCATCAAGTGTAATCACTTCTTCGAATGACTCCCTAATGGATTCTGGATCCGTGCTTACTGTAGCTTCTGATTTAGCTTCCGGTTACTGTAGATGCTAGATCCTCGGTTACTGTAGCTGCTGAATCCTTGGTTACTGTATCCAAACCAGAATCTTCCTCTGAAACCTCGCAGACTCCAGATTTATGAAATTCCATTTTTGGCTCTTAATGGCAAGGGACGCCCACGAGGGAAGTTTTGCTTAGTAAGTTGAGATTTACCGATTTTTTCAGGTTTTCTGACTGTGTTTCCATCAAATTTTTGTGCACCAGCCAGTCAAAAACACCATCCAGTATCCTCCGAGTCTTCAAATGGGTCGACATATGGTGGTGACCATTCTGGAATCAGGATAAAACCAGATACCATGATTTCTCTGATAGCAAGTGTACTTTGAGCTCAATGGGAACAATCGTGAAACTTGAAAGAATCGGCAAATCTTAACTCAGGCATAATTTTCCTAATGGCTCTCTCCCCTTGTCATAAAGAGCCACTTTTTTGATCTACCCGGCTGAGCCATCGCGGACAAAACTTCGAAATGCGATAGAGGTGCACTGACAGATGAAGAAAACGATCCTGGAACTTTTGAAGCTGTTGGTGTCCCTAGCAGAGTAACTAGAACTTGATTTGCTTCTTGAAGAGTTGATGAAGAAGTATTCGATGTTCCTGGGCCAGATTGAGATTCTTGGATCAGACCTTCTGGTTCTGGAGATTGGGATGGACCATGAAAGATAGGCTCTTCTGATTTAGCTAGAGGAGGAATTGCAATTTCTGAAAAAATCAATTGTTTAAACATTTTTACAGACAGAAAAGGACCAATTCGTTGTTGAGGCATCTCAGTTGCCAGCACCAGAGGAATATTCATTTCGGTTTTCTTTTTTTCTGGAAATTTAGAAACTTCTGGAACCGATCTGTTAGCTAAGACTCACTTGGCGGGATCATGGGAAATTCTGATGTGGCTTCTGGAACTTTCTGTGAGCCCCTCGAAGATTCTTCTCTTCTTGAACCACGATGACGTGAATAGCTCCTCAATGACCCAGAAGACGACCTAGACCTTCTTCTTTTCCGGTAATCATCAGTTTTATAACGGTGACGTTTTCTTGAGGAGCTTCCAGAATCCCGACACGGCGACGGTTCCCTGCCATGCCTTTTGCGTATATCCTCGTGATGCGCAGCAATTCTCTCTCTTTTCTTTCCTTCCGACTCGTTGAGAGGATGGTACCCATCCCAAGCATTGTTATTGAAATTCAGTCTTTCTACTCTCGATGACCAATTGCAGAATCCGTCAGTTCCTCTGGCTTCCTTCTTCTCCTCCTCCGTCGCTGGACGAATATAGATGGACCGGAGTTCAGCATCGTTTTCAACTTGGAAAAACGGTTTATGGATAGAACGCGACATGCTTGTGGTCTGAAAGTACGGTAGATTTGTGGAGTTTCTATAGGATCTTTAAGGAAGGTTCTCAAAGAGCGTTTTTGGGTATGGTCATTAAGGCCAGAATTCTGAGCTTAGGAGCTCTAGAAGATTCTGTGAGGTTGAGTGTATTCTCGCTGAAACATATATTGTAGTCCACGAAAACCTGTCCAGGTCGCGGCCCTGTTCTTTACAGCCTTGCTTGCGTGTCAATACCATAAAAAACTCACCGCATTGCACCGAACTTTTCGATGATGATGAAACTCCAACTTCCCTCCAAAAAATCGGCTACACATGACGCACTGTATGCAAAAGGCACCCCTGAAAAATCCTTTTTTTCTATAACTTTCTTCTTTGACTCACGTATGCTGAAAGAAATGCTCATTTATAGCTGCATGGACACCAACAAAAGAACAAATCGAATTGTCTTTCTCGGGGTACTCGCACCGGTAGAGTTGCGCCTTTTTGCCTCTATAATTAATTAAATTAGGGTGATTATTTATGGTTTTAAATTACTTGTTTTCCCGCACCAACTGTATGTTGTGATCTCTTTGTTCCTCTTGCTCCGTATATGACAATGAAACTTTCGAAGACATTTCGAAGAGTAGTGGTTTCTGAAAATCTAAGTTCTGCAATCAGACATTCTGCAATCGGCTATTTCGCAACCGGGCGTCTGAGAACCACAAGCGATTCTAAAACGTCCAGTTTCATATCTATACTCTTATCTATGTATCTGAACCCCAACCTCATTAATCCAATTGATAACGTTAAAACTGAGCAATCAGCTGAGGAGACCGAACTACAGTACTCCTTATCGGAAGGCGCAATGCTCAATAAATCGGAGACGCAGGAATTGACATTCGAAATACTAGAAACCGTTGAAAATAGCCGCATAGAATTGAGGGGGAATGAAAGACAAACAGCTAGAGGGGCGCAAGGGGGCGTGGCTTAGGATACGAGTCACAAGACACGAAATGGTACTGGAGGAGAGATTAGTCACGAGAAATAAAGAATATTTGACAAAACAAAAATTGGTGGAACAAATGAAAGTCGCTCTGTAATTATGTTTAGGCCCAGGGGATCGAACGACTATGGTACGCGATGGCACTCTAATGAGTACGGTGCGTGTTAGCTGGAAGTTTATTTGTGCGCACGTCGTGATAATTGAGATTGGGATTCCGATTGTAATCTCTCGCTTCCAATTAATTCCATCAGCCTGAAACTTTGACACGCCACCTTCTAATTAAACCACATCACTTCCTCCTGTGATTAGGAGTGGAAAATTAGTGTAGCGAAGTTTGAAAATTGCACTTCATAGAGCTCACATATCTAGAAGATACCGTAATCCGAAAAGTTTGGCATCCGATTTTTAGAAGAATCATAAAATACGAAAAAATTAAGCCCGTTTTCAGGGTAGAAAATGCATCTCTTAATTAGTCAATAAGAACTCTAGTTGCCTTCAATGCTCTAAAAAAAACCCTATGAGTGTACTTTGAGCTCAATTATCTCGGTGTCTATAAGAGATATCAAAAATCTGTAAAAAATGATGTTGATGATAAACAATTTATCAGTTAAAATTATTTCTATATCTTTTGAAGGTCCGGAGATAATTGAGCTCTCAGTGGCCTATCATCGCCAGTGGAGTGATAGCATATGGTCCCCACGCTGCAAACTTTAACCCTATCTATCTCGTTCCCTGTAAGAGATATGAAAAGTTATCAACTAACGAAACGTCTACAGTAATATCAGTAACATTTTATTAGTTTTCAAAATTTTGATTTCTTTGATGGCAACCGAGATAATTGAGATCAAAGTGCACATACCGGGTAGGCTTCTATTGGAGCAATACGGTGTATTTGATACTTTTTGATTTCAAGGTGGAATCTGAAACTTGCTAGCTACATTTTCAAACAAAAAAGTTATTTCCGACGTTCTTTTTGATATGGAACGTGCCAATTTCAAAACTACAGTATCCCGGAAAACAAATAGAAAGACCAACCATCATCCAATGAGTCATGAGTTCTCGAACGTTTTATAAGATGAATAATTGTCAATTTTTTTTTGAAATTTGAGATTTTTGTTTATCAACAGTAAGACGCTTTCCTTTAGAAACAACGGATGGTCATCACCGTATGATCATCACCGTATGAGTCATGTTCTTCACTGTTCCTCTGGTCTTTTTTTCAATACCCTGATGTAAGTGACTCGTGTAGACGACTCAGAAGTGACTAAATTAACTACAGTAAGACGCTCTACTTTGAAAACAACGGTGGCTCAATGAGCAATTTATCTTCTAAAAGAGCCTTGGAAATAAATGAGAAGCCTTTGTAAAAAAAGGAAATTGGGGAAAAAATCGGGAAGATTAAACGCCTAAAATGACTAATCATTAATTTTCAAATGCCCGCTTCAATCTTTGTGTAGATGCAAAAAGCTAGAACTAATGCAGATATGCAAAAATCGACATTTTTCTCAGTAAATCGTACCCACTTTACGATTCCAGGACATCTGATTTCTATACGAATCAAATCCCAAAAAACCTTGTTATTCTGATTGCTCTTCTGATTACGTCAAAATCATTTTACTTATTTATTGTATGTAACTAGTAGAGGTAGAATAAATTAAAAATCAGAAGGTCGTGGGTGTCTCGGATTCTTATGCTTATGCTAGAGCCAACATAATGGTCAGATTAGTACAAAATTGAAATTTTTATGGCTTATGGATTTCAATAGCTGTGTGACGTCACAGCGTTATTCAAATATCTTAGGTTTTGCTTCAAAAATATGAGAACCCTTTAAAAAACGAAAAGAAAAAAATCTCATCAATTTCGGCACCAGAACACTAGATAAAATCTTAAAGGGAGCTGGCTGACATATGAATGGATGGGCAGGGCTCACCGAAAATGAAGGGAGTGAATATTTTTTTTAGCTGACAGCTTCAGTTTTATAAGAAAATGTGGATATTCAGGAAGATATAAAAACAATTGGAAGGAATCTATATCTTTAGTTTTTAAAAATTACTTTCATTAACAGATCCCTGCTCATGAGGGTGCCCTTATAAAACAGGTATTTCAGTAAAAACGGTTTAAATAGCTTGTTTTTGTGCTCAAAATGTATGTGGGACTACGGTGAAAGTGTAAATGACAGTCCTCAACAAGAACACCGTAATTGCCCAACCTATAAGTTTGATTCGACCTCAATTATCTTGCTTTCTATAAATGATATCAAAAAGTAGCCAACTGATAAAATACTTCTGATTTTATGATGAATTTTTTTATTAGTTGACAACTTTTTTATATCTTTAACAGGAGCCGAGATAAATTGGCTCCAAGTTATTACGTGTGGAGGATAAAGATGAGATGGGTACGGTAGAAGTGTGAAAAACAATCCTGATAGCTCCCTGGAAGAAACAATTCTTTGAATCCCATAAAACGGTCGAATTGTGTGCTATAAACTCACCAATTACAGTAGTAGATAAATGCTACGTCGATGCTATACAGCAATCCGTATGCTTGATGACTTAGCTCAACTCTGGTTACAGTAGTCTGTCTTGGTTCTCAGAATCAGGCGACAACGATTATAAAGCATTGAAACTTTTCGTCTGAAATGAAGGAAAGCTATGGGAAAAGGAGCCTTAAAAAAGAAAAAAAATCACGAGATTGGCGAGTTTTATGATATGGGGCCAGATGAAAGGGGGAGAGATGGAAGAATTATAGATTTTATTGGCTGAGAAACAGAAAAAAAAATACAGAAAATATGCGGTTTTTTCTTGATTCCATCAAAACGGAGCAAAAAAACGGAAGAAATGGGGAAAAAAGAGTCGGGAAGCGAATGAGAAACAATTTCTGGGCTTCTGGAGCCGCCGCAGCGAGCTAGGGGCACCGCCGGAGCTCTATCTGCACGTCATCAGTAGACTGGCGAAGGAAACGAGAAGTTAACGAGTGAGCTTAGAGTAATTTTCTCTTGGAACCAAAAAAGAAGGCTATAAAAAGAGCATGTAATTTCCCCGATTTCATGTTCCAGAGTGCTCCCAGACATGCAAGCCCTATCATTTCCTTTATGGGATTTTCTGCAACGACTTTCTCAAAAAAATAAGAATAAAAACGACCGAGAAAAAATTCGCAAAATTTTCAGCTCGGACAAAAAAAAGGATGAAAAAAGTCTGGCACCCAATATTAATCAAATCCCGGAATGACTTGTCTGTCTGGGAGTGAAAACTGAAAGAGTGGAAAAAAAAACTTGAAAAGATTTATGAGCGATTTACCTGGTGGGTTTTCTAGGTCATTTACAATGGTGGCCTAACTTTTGCAAGTTGAAATTTCTAGGCCACCGTAGTTGATGATCTAAAAATAGCCTACCCCATACCTGATGTGTTTTCCAGTTCATTTACCATGGTGGCCTAACTTTTGCAATTGAGTTTTCTAGGCCACAATGTTCAAATGACTTAGAAAAAGTCGCCAAGTGACTGTTAGACCATTCCTAGGTCATTTACCATGATGGCCTAGGAAACTCAACTTACGAGAGTTGGTCAATATGTAAAAATGGCCTAGAAAACACACCAGAGTTATGTTAGGTCATTTTTGGATCATTAACTAACATAAGGTGGCCTAAAAATACACATTGTGAATATCAGACCACTTTTCAACCATCAACTACGGTGGCCTAAAAAATGATATTAGGACAGTTAGGTCATCTTTTTGAAAATGACTTAGAAGGCCTAGAAAAATCATGTTGAGAAAATTAAACCACTCTATTCCTCAAATGTAATCGTCGTTGTCCGTTAAATCCTTTGTGCCTTTAAAATTACTAGTTCTAGCTTAATTTTCTTGACTTGTCGAATTTTCGCATTGTAGTTTCGATTAAAATAGCAAAATTTGAACAAAAACGATGTCGAAAATTGTCGAGAATCAAGCAAATTAGGCCAGAAACAATTATGTGCCAAAAATCCTGACACTTTAAAGGCGCATAGAATTTCATGGCACACGACGACGGATTTGCTGCTGGACCAAAGATGTGCCTTTAAATAATTTTCCGGCTGTGAGGTTCATCGCCACCGGACATGAATAATAGAATATCCGAATGCCGGAAACCGAAAATGAAAAGAGAACTTGATTCTGTTTTTACGGAGAACGGAAACGATTCCTTTTTTGTAGCTCAAAGTGCAAGTATTAGATTTCAGACAACTCAGAAAGATGAAAATCAAGTAAGTCTATGCGATAAATCAATCAAATACTCATATCCAAATGGCTACCTATTCTTGGGAAAACAACTCATTTATGATCGCACTCTTTTTGAGCTACTCTCAAGGGGGATTAAAAGAACATTGGAGGTCATTGTCAGCCCTTTTTAAGTCATATAACTTTTTTAGAGTCATATCTTTTCAAGGATTAAAAAAATAATGACATGTATTTGGAAGGGGAACAAAGGAATCGAAAATAGGTCCACGTTGCTTGAGAAGAAGAAAAAAGGAGATGGGATTGAGAAAAGGGGAGAGGGGTGGTCATAAAAATGGCAGTGGGACGAAAAGTTTGGATTAAGGATTGGGTTCAGAGAATTAATTAAAGTAAAGGGATGATGGGTTTTTCGGAATCTCCAGAGCCAAATATTGAGAATGGTTTTCCCAATTTAATTTTTAACTTTTTATTAAAGTTTCAAAATTGATTCTTCATATTCTCGAAACCGTAGTATCGAAATCTTTAAATTCACATTTTTCATTGATTTAAGAAACTTTTGAGTGTAACGTTTCAAATTTTTAGAACACATAAGAAACAGTTGCCAAAGAGTTTTTCAAAAACGTGCAAAAGAAAACGTCTCATAATTTTTTTATATAAGCCCCTCGAGAAGCTGAACTTGTGGACCCAACGCTGGAGGCGCCGCGTCGCACCAACTAAGCTGAGGCGGCTATTTTTTGAGATAATTTAACTCGGTTCCTGTAAAAGATATCAAAAAGTGGTCAACTAACAAAATGTTATCGATATTATGATAAAAATTTTATCAGGTTAACTACTTTTTAGTATATGTCACAGAAAATGAGATATGCGGGCTCAAAATTGACGGTTCGGGGGAGAGCGTTCTATCCGAGTCGTTACGGTACTCTTTGATATTCAGAAAGCTAACCTCATCATTAAGGAACATCATAAACTTTAGGAACAAAAATACATGATCATATAATTTCCTCCGGCCAATATCTTACCTCAATTATAACGTCTTCCTAGAACTCCTCCTCCTGAGATAGCCATAAAATCTTGGTTCGTGCCGCTCTACCTAAAACTACACTACTTTATGACTACACATGTTTAGAAAACCCATAAGATCTATTTTAAAACAGAAACAATATCCAAAATAGGTTTGTATGTATATGTAAATTACTCCTTCGCGCTATGTTGTTTGAAATTTTGGGCGTCCCTACATTTTTCATGAATAATTTACCAATTATTCAAGAAGTCGGGTTTCTTGTTGTTGTCTGTTTCACTGTTTCTAAAATTAAACAACACCCATAACAATTGTAAAACGGCTAATAATGAAACTCCAAAAATTGAAATAAATATAAGAAAATAAATATTTATCGGAAAAAAAATATCTTGTTAAAAACCAAACTGGAGTCGAATCTGGTTGTGAGAAGATGACACCGAGTAGACTATGAAAATTTGAACATGGTCGAACTTCTGCATCTGGTGTCCTAGAAAATCAAAATTCGGCTATGAAATTATGAAATTAATGTTTCTTGCGTCAAGAGCTTCAAAATGAGTATAATCATGACTATGTTCCTTCAAACTTGAAAATGCATACTTTAAAGGCACACGGGGGGTGCGAAAACTTGAAAAACAACAAATTGAGTCATGAGTATACTCATTTCAAAGCTTCCGGCCTAGAAAATTTATTTTTCAAGTTTTTAGGCCTCTACGGCTCACCCATATTCAAAATTCGATTTCTGGCGCACTGAGAATAGTTCTGAAAGTTTCTGAAAAAGGTTTCAAAAAAATTCAGTTGATGTATTTATTTTGTCAAATATGTCAAAAATGATTTGTATTTTTGAAAAATCAGTGAAATCGGGGTGGCGGGAATGTCGATGGGGGAAGTTGGGGGTTTCAATATTAAAGCTCATGAAAAATTTTGGCTTTTGAAATAAAAAATTATGAGAAATTATAGGCAGGAACTAGAAAGGCTCATCCTGTCCGTCCTCCTCCTTTTTGGACCACTTCTCAGCAGTAGAGGTCTCCATATTTCTGAAAATCAAAAAATCTGAATCTAAAATTATCACACTTAACTCACTTGACTTCTGAGTCCGCCGAAGCCCTTGGCGTCGAAAAAGACGACGAGATTGTCGAATCTGTCTCCAACGATTTTCGTTTTCTGGAAAAACAACATACAGTAATCGAACACCTGCAGATCTAACTCACATCGCTGGTCGTTCTTCAGAAGGCTCCCGATATCGTTTAGCTCCAGCCGCTGCTCTTCTGGGAACCAGAAGTCCTACGAGTCTGAAAATAACATTTTAGAAGGGAAATTCTAGAAACTTCTTTTTTCTTACTCAGCCGGAAGCTCCGATCCTCCTTGTGATGGTGTGGCGGCTGGAGTGGATGGCTGGCTGAGACGAATTTCTTCTTCTGCCGTCAGTGGTTTCATCATTTTAATTGTTAATTTTTTGTAGGTGATGACGTTATTATCGGCTCTTGGAAGAGGTTCCAGATCATCGGAATTTTCAGAATCCACCACCACCTTCTTCTTCCTCCCCCTTTTACTGCCAGATGTCGAAGGCGCAGGCCTACGTGCAGCTTTCCTCGGCATCGTGATCTTCTTTTGCTTTTTTCTTGGACGTCTTTTGGGGACAGCAACTTCTTCTGCGACTTCTGGAGATGGCATGGCTGGAGTTGGGACATCTGCTGCGGCTTCTGGAGCGGCTTCTGGCACAGCTGAGATGGTCGGCACTTGAATCCTACTTGGAGCAATCTTCCTGGTTCCTGACTTTATCTGTCTTGGAGTCTTTGGGACCACAGAGTCTTCGAGATGTGCTACAGGAGCTTCAGGAGAAGATTGTACAGGAGGCTTACTCGGAGCAATCTTTCTGGTTCCTGACTTTATTTGTCTTGGAGCTACTGGAGACGACGATGACGTCGGCAGGTTCCATGCTTGATCACACGCTTGCTCGTCGATTCTCAGCTCTGGTTCTTCACTGGAATCCCTTTCTCCGTAGCGTCTTTGAGACGTATCTGGAGCAGAATCATGATCATAGGAGCTACTAGAAGTCAACTGGGATTCTTCGTAGTGCCTGGGCGAAGTGGAAGGCTGGACGTCTGAAGCTGCCTGTTGAACATCCGGTACGTGTTTTTCGTAGCGTCTTGGAGAAGTGGGATCACTTTGATGAGACAAGTCTGGAGCAGAATCCTGGCTACTTGAAGGTTGATGCCAGCTTGGATGTTGATAAAACACACCACTAGCGTCATTGAAGAAATCTTGATGGTGTTGGAGAGGAGTTGGCAACGGAGCAAATGGATGAACCTGGAGACCAGATGAATCTGGAGTCGAACTGTAGCCATAAGAGCTGCTAGGAGGAATGTCGAATTGGCTTGGACGTCTATAAGGTTCGCTTGGGCCAGGTTCTGAAGAATCGGCGGCTGGAACATCTTCATAATCGTCAGCAGGCTCCGGTTTGATTGATCGAGTCGCTGGTATCGGTGGAATGTTTGAAGCAGCCTGTGGAACCTCATTCGATGGTCCTTCTTGCTTCATAGGCACCTGTGGTTTGGCAGCTTGAGCGTGTTGATCTTCAGCTTCATGGGATCTATCATTCGAGTCCATTTGAGAATTGCACATCGGAGCTTTCGAAGCTTCTGGGAAAACTGAAGAATCCTCATAGTCATCTGCAGGCTCCTGTTTGATGTTAATAGTTCTTGGCATTTCTGGGTTCTTCTCTACTGGTGGTGGCTGAAGGGTTGGAGCTGCCTCTGGCACTTGATTCGATGATCCTTCTTGCTTCATAGCAGCCTGTGACTTGGTAGCTTGTTTATCTTGCTGAGCATCCTCATCAACCGGCTCCTGTTTGATGCTCCTGTTCAGTGGAAGTGCAGGTTCTTTCTCATTTGGTGTAGGACGAGATGCTGAAGCTTCAACTAGCTCCGGCTTGATGCTTCTAGTCGGTGGCACTGCTGGATCTTGCTCTGCTGGTACTGGCTGAAGATGTGAAGCTTCCTGTGGTAATTCTGTAGCTGGGTCCTCCTCTGTCGATGATGACGAAACTTCAAGTTCAAATCCCACGACTGGCGTATCTTGATCCTCCATGAAAACCTGTGGCTCTGGAGTTGGAGCTTGTTGATCTTGCTGGAAATAGTCATATGATTCAGGGGCTGGAGCTTCTTCTCGTACCTGACTGGCTGCTTCATTTTCCATCGACACCGGGTAATCAGCAGCATGAGCATCTTCTACAGTGTCCTCTGAAATAGAATTTTCGTGTCCCAGATTTGAGGATCCCTCATTCTCCAGGGAATTCTGAAGGTCGCCATCTTGAACATCTTGAGCTTGAAGCTGTGTCATCTCCTCATCTGGTGCCTGTGGAACTGGTGGCATCTTATCCGATGGTCCTCCATTTGCCTGCGGATCGACGATTTCAGCCTGTCTAGCTAGATCTTTCTTTTGTTGCTTGGTGAGATGATCAGGAAAATGTCTAGCATGAATGTCTTCATCAGTGTCCGTCACCTCAATTTTAATCGACCTGACGTCTTTCATGCTAAATTTCTTCTTCGCCGGCTGTGGAGCTTTTCCTGGACCGTCTTTGATAGTTCTACGGACTGGCATTGTTAGAGTCTTCTCAACTGGAGCATCCACATGCTCAGTTTTGACGTTTTGAGCAGCAGCAACATCGTTAGAAATGTTAGAAGAGGCCTTTTTGAGTGTAGCTTCTGCAGCATTGGATTCTTCAGGGACTGGACACTTTCGAATGATTCCTGGAGGCTCTGATGGTGCTGGTGGCAATGGCTTCCATCGTGGTAATTTCACAGGAGCTTCACACGGTTGTGGTCCATTTTCTGGAATTTCCTTTTTTAGGTTATCAGTCAGAATTTTCATCTGCTCACCTGGATTCTGATCTTCGACTGGAGTTGGGGCGGCCAGCTGCTCAGGAGGATCATTCGAGTTCACAAACTTTACTGCACATGGGGCTGGAAGGTTCAGATCCAGTGATGGTAGTGGATGAGCCGGTCGTTTGGGAGTTGGGATCATTGGAGGTGGTAGGTTGAATGATGGGAGGACTGGAGAAATAGGAAGCACAGGATTTGTAGCCATCGGAACTGGAGATCGGAGAGTTGGAGGTGGACGGTTGAGTCTTAGATCAGTCGGGAACAGACATCCGAATCCCAGTGGTGGTGGTGGAACCGAGAAGTCGTGGATAGGAAGAGCAATCGAAGAGGCTGCTGGAGGCTTCGGAGTGGATGAAAGACTTGGAGAGGGAAGATTGACAGATTCCGACATCCTTGGCTTCTTGATCGGAATCGGAGAAATGGAAACTGGAGCATCACTCTCTTTTACTGGCTCTGGGTCCTCTTGATGACATCCTTCCTCGATAGTGTTTGCTCGGTGACCTTTTGAAACTGCTTTGCTCTTTTGTAGTTGACGCTTTTGATAGCAGTCCATGCCAGGGGACTTGGAAGTTGAAGCAGATTCCGATGATTCTCCAGTTTTAATTTTTTTCAAGATCCGTGCGCAATCCTCAAAATCAAAATTTGTAATGAGTCCGGGCGCTGGCACATTCTGTCGTGGAGGATTCGTCGACGAAGAACTTGGAATTCTAGGATCCTGAGGAGTTTCGATGCTTGAAGTGGAAGGTCTCGGAATTTGATGGTCTTGATCGTTGCCCTCCTTCATAGTCCGAACCTCCTCCTCCTTCACAGGCACAATGAAGGTCTTTCTGATGAACTCCTCGTGATCTCGGGAACGATTGGTAGAGTTCGCTCCTTTCGGCAACCAGCAACGCCGCTGGTGCTTATGAGCTTTTGCCGCTCTCCATGTCACAAAATATGTGTGACACGGAGCGCAGTAAAAGTGGAAGCACTGGCTGAAAACCGGAATTTTAATCAAATTTCTCTAAAAAGAATGTATACCTGTGCTCCCCAGCGTGCTCGAATGTGTCTTCGAGATCTCCTACAAATTTGCAAGTTTCCCCGTTTTTCAACGGGTAGATGCATTTGTATAATTGCATCTGAGGTGATTTTCTGAAGATTTAGACGATCTTTGATATAATAGACTTTGGAATCACTCACTTATATTTCACCATCAAAGCCTGGTTATAATCGTCAACTTCTTGGCGATACATTCCTGACGTCGATGACCACCTGAAAGAAAGGTGATAGGAATGGATAGTTTTCGCCAACTTTGACCAAATTTATTTCGGTCCCTTTGAAAGATATCAAGAAATTGTCAACTGATCAAATGCTTATCACAATGTCAGCAACAATTTATTAGTTGACAACTTTTTGATAACTATTTCAGGAATCGAGATATATGGATTCGAAGTTAGGACGCCTTCTGATACAGGCCGAATTCGCCACCGAAGGGTCCCCTAACTTGGCCTAAAGTTATCTCGTTTTTTGTAAAAGATATCAAAAAGTAGTTAACTGATAATCTGTTTATCATAATGTCAGTAACAATTTATTAGTTGACATCTTTTTGATAACCTTTACAAGAACCGAGATAAATTGGCTCAAAGTTGACCTGGTCAAACATTTCAAGTTATGGATTTCTAGGTCTTCAACTGATGTTTATTGCTTCGAAATCAATATTTCCAGGATTCAAAAATTGATTTAGAAACCTGATTTTTTTTTCTTTTTATAAAGACAAGAAAATTTGAACCACTTTGAGACCAAAAAATTTGAACCATTTTGAGACCAAAATCAAGTTCCTAGCTCAATTTAGAAGAGAGTTATTGGCCAATATGTTTTGTGAGGACGCGGTCGGCTGGAGGTGGATGAGAGGAAAAAAGTGAAATTTGGTATACTATAGCAAGAAACTACAAAACATAAAGGTTACTAGTTCATAACAAAACATTTTAGTACTTCCAGACACCTAACAATAATCGAGATTACTAGAAATGAGAAAACTTTCGTGTTTCTTGAATATATAACTACAAAAAACAGGTTCGCTATTTTTAAAGCACAAATCCGTTCACCTGTGAAACATGTGGTGCATCCTCGTCCCTTTCACAAGGTTGTCATTTCGAATGAGTGGACATTATAAATATGTACTCATAAACTAATTAGATGTGTCATGTGTTTGAGCAGAGGTCCCGGTTAGATGTGCTCATTCCCGAAAGCTGTCATTTGAGATTCCGGAAGCTTATAAAAACGATGTTCATCTAGACGAGACCAATCTAGACATAAATGTCATTCCCAAAAAAAAGTTTCTCTCTCTCTCTTTTTTTTTCAGGTGTCGATGATACGGTATCATCCGAGCGGAAGTTCCCATAGAGTAATCATTGCGCACACAGTTAATTCCAAACAATCCCCATATATTCTCAAGATTACCACACATCCATCCTCCTTCCTGTTGGCCCCAATTAACGTCTTCCCAGCTGATGGTGAGATTTATTGCGTCTTGTCATGGTGGTGCCCCCCCCCTTTTTGTTCTTTCTATGATCTTCCTCGCGGACTACACAGAACCAATTAATACTGACACGCAACATCTTCTTTTTGATACCGACACACGGGCATCTGCCATCTAGATGGGTCAAAACATAATTGGGCTGATGTGGATAGCAAATTCAAAGCTAATTGCAAGCTAGTCTATATAGTAATTATTACACTTAACGGAGGCCGCGTAGCTCAACCGGTAGTAGCTCGAAAATCGCACTCAAAATGACTATTTGAGTTTGATCTCAATTATCTCGGTTCCGTATAAGATATCAAAAATGTGTCAACTGATGAAATTTTTGCCATATTATCATAAATATTTTAGTAGTTTGCAAATTATTGATATCTTTTATAGGAGCTGAGATAATCGAGCTCAAAGTGCAATTGAACGGTGGTGCTCTATTCGAGCATGTTCACTTCGCATTTTGAGCTCAATTATTTCGGATCCTATGAAAGCTATGAAAAATTTGTCAACTGATAACATATTGGTGATAATAAGAATGACATTTTGTTAGTTAACAAACTTTTGATATCACTCACAGAAATTGAGATATTTTGAAATCAAAGCTGATGTAAATGGTGGGATTCTATGAGAACATGTGATCCTTAAACCTTTGAGCTTAATTATCTCGGTCCCCATAAGAAATATCCAAAATTGGTTAACTGATAAATGTTCATTACATCATCACAAATGATTTTGTAGTTTGTAGTTTTTCGACAACTTTTACAGTAACCAAGATAATTAGGCTCAAAGTGAGAAGAGGTCTAATAGTAAGCGTTAGATTTTTCAAAATTTTTAAGCCATTAAGAACCAAGATAACGTCTCTGATTCCTTATAAATTTTCAAGGACCAAATAATTTCATAATTAACTTACCGATAAAATCGGGACTCGTGGACTCTTCAAGTGCTCTCTATCTGATCCGATCGGTGTGTCGATGACTCGGAATGGACGGAAGGGTGACAAGATGAAAATCTGAAAAAATATACAATGGAAAAATAAACCATTTTGAATGGAAGAAAAGAACGAAAAAAGCAAAAAACGACATTCTAGGGTCACACTCATTTACATTTTCCGGTACCATGTACCGTGCTTGTTGGTTCACTAAGAATAGACAGAAGAAAGAACAAGAAGAAAAAAAGATATTTTTGGAATCATTGGAAAGCAACGGAAGAATAAAAGAATGGAAGAGCAGTACCTAGGCACCACAACAAAAATTTCAAAATAGACTTTTTCTCATTTTTATTGTCGGATTGTCTTCTCCTCTCTTATAGAAGTCTATTCCCAAATTTTCAGCGAAAAATGTTCTCCCATTCTCGAGATACAGATCCTTTTGTACCAGACCTCGATGTACTGACTTTCTCCTCATCTTTTTGCGGTGCGCAGAAATTTGGGTGGGGCTTATCTTTTGCAACCTCGCGGCACGGAAAATTTGTAAAGGAAATTTAAGAAAAAGCTAGTAGACCCACAAGGGATTCGAGCCTCCTTCACCCTCAGATCGTCACTCGCGCCCACTATCCAGTCTGCCACGGCTGAATGTGGACATTAGATGGGAAACATGAAAGGGCCGCCTTTCGTTGCCTGCCGCTTCCTTCCGGTGGTGCCTCATCCCTATTTTTTATAATGAATTGCTCTATTATAGACGAGAAAACAGATGTTTTACATATGACCGCCACAGTAGGACTTTCTATATATTTGGTGGCAAATTTTGCGCTTTATCTTATGGTGGAAAGAAAATCGGAGGCACTCACCTGTGTCACCCTCAAAACTTCCAAAAACCGAAAATTTTGAAAGTTCCGAATTTTCGGATGAGTATTAAAACTACTTTAAGATGACCAACCTTTCTGAAACTTGTCACAGGTGTACACAAGGCTTAGTTTTACCATAATATAAGAAAAAAATTTTGGGTCATCGCTGAAATTTTTATGTATTTTGTCTGGAACTTTGGTTGGAAATTGCGCCACAACCGCCACAGTAGAAATTTGATTTTACTTTGAAATCCAATTCCCCATTTCATGAACTATCAGAATCCACCAAACAATTTGGAGGCACTAACTTCCATCCAATACTTTTAGTCCACTTTGTCAGTGTGATTCCTGTTTTTCAAAGTTTTCGAATCAAAATAATGACATTATCGAAAAACTGATAATTTCATTCGATTTATCGCAGTCGATTACATAGCGACAAATTCTAACTTTAAAAATAATGAGTTTCTAACGCCCGGTACAAGCCTTCAAAAATGGGTTTCTGAAAAGGGGAGGAAAATTTGGTCGCCCCGCCCCCTTTCATTGCGGCGCCTAGCAGTACCTCAAAAAAAATCTATTGTGGAAAGTAACAATACTATCTCTTGTGATAAACTTCATGTGCGTTATCAAAGCAGACATAAAAAATGAGCAGTTTTCTTGGAAATAATGAGGTCTTATCAGTTTGATGTACAATTTTTTGTCAGCTGTAATTGTTTTAGTACTTTTTAGCGAACACAGGCATACGGGAGGGCAAAGAACATTTTTTCATAAAAGACATCATTTTCTACCAGGTTTTACGGCAAAATGGTGTTTATTGGGGATGATTTGACTCGTATTTGACAAGCTGACCCCATTTGAAGCTACAAAACTCTTTTTTCTATTTTAACATTCT